TATAGCTGTCACTTTTTCTAGTCGACACCTGTTATTCTATGTGTTGCAACATGGCATGTCGTTGCATCGCGCAAACTTATTTCAAAGAAACGCTCGATGATGACAGTACTCCCCGTGCTTAAGTGACGGGTAACGTAAGAGAGATGCAGTTAGCATATTTAATGACCACGGCAAACGTTTTCTCGACTTGGATAACAAACGTTTCGCTCTAAAAACCGTCGACGACGCGACAGTCAGCCGTGGGCACTGCATAAAAAGCAGCGGTTCATCAATATCCCGATCATTATTATCATCATTTTCGTCAATATCAGCGTCGATGTTGTTGTTGTGGAGACCAATGACGCCGGCACTTTTTGCACCACAGAATTTTTTCATTCACTAGAACTGGTCTCAACTTCGTGGCCATTTCGGTATCCAGTTGTCTGAACCGCCGGAATTGTCGTTATGATCGACTCCATTATGGCGTGTCGATCCATTTGTGTTGGTATTGCTATGGGAAAGCCCTTCTGTATGGATTAATGCCGGAGACAACGAACCCAGCGGCGGTTCGTGGGTCGTTGTAAACTTCGTCGAACTTTTGCTCAACTTGTATTCTTTGACTGACTGGCTGACTGGGCTAAGCTAAAATGGATTTTCAGTGTGTGTGGGTCGGGTGGCGTCAGGCCACGTTCTCGTTTCTCGCCGAACGAAAACCCTAGCCAAATTAGTTGGACCAAAGTCGATCGGTTTCATAACATTCTCGCCTAATCGCTTACAGCAAAAGCAGGTTATCAGCATATGAGCAAAGGCTTACTTGCCCTGCCTGCACACGTGTTTAACGGTCAATCGAAGACGGCAGCTGGGTTTGGCCAACGAACGGTGTCGCTAACGGAGTTCACGTCTATCATCAATGGTGGCTATGGGTAACGATAGTTTAGTCAATTTGTTCAAACCACACACGCAGCTATATAAACGCAAGGGACAAACGATAAAATTCGCATGTCTATCTAATGACAAGCGGTTTTTCGTCTTGCTATCAGCTCCTCCTCACAGATGGGGATAGTAGGAACAGCGGACAATTGCAAGACGTTCAAAAAAGAAAGGGTTCATTGGTTCTCAATGAATTAATCACAGCGGGAAGTATAAAAAGACCTGGCCTTCTTTTTCCTTATTGATTTGTGGCTCTCACCTGCAACGTGATACAGGAGGAAAACCAAAAACGGCTTGCCAAAACAGAATAGTTAGAATTGTAATAAGGTAGGTAAATAACTTAACGGTGATGACTATGAAGAAGATATCAAATGAAAGACAAAATTGTTTAGACAGAAAAAAAGTAACCAAACAACCACCGTTTTTGTTCGGGCGACGAGTAATTTTAGTCAGACCATCGTCAAGCTGCTGACTGACCATTTTTGTACGGCAGAACTAACTCTCGCAGCAACTACCAAGTGTCAGTATGACAAGGTCGGCAACTGAAGAAGACCAACGATGAACGAACCAAACAAATAATAAACGCGCAAACTGAAGGTATCCCGTTTGTGATGTTATCGCCCACGACTGTTGATTGTTCCTTGAAAAAAAAAAAAGGTAAATATACACATAACAAAACAAATCACATCGTCAGGATCGCTACTGGATATGGAAGCAGCAAAAAAAAAATAGAGCGAACACTTCACGCTTTAGCTACTATAGAAAAGTGGCCAACACAGAAGCCCATAGATTGCGTTACAAAAATCTGGATGAAGCCAGAAGGAAACGTCGTACGATTATCTTGCACAGGGCATGACGGTAGCAGGGCATTCGGCAGTTACGCGCTGTCTTATCCGACGATAACCGAAAGTCGCGACGCTAGTTACCAACAGCGCCGTATGATACCGCCATTGCCATTTTCCTTCATCGTCAATAACGCCCGTGGCATTATTAGGTCCACGATGAAAGTTCACTATACCCCTTAGCAAGGGGTAACAATAATTAGTGCTTAATTAGAAAGCTACTAGAATTGTTGATGGGTAGCAGGCATTTGTGTCACATTGTCAAACGTGATGATCTTCATCGTTTAACGACGATCCCTGTAGCAGAACTCCCATTTGTTGGTTACGTCCGACGTTCGTGAACAAATTCTACTACATTATAAACGGGTATTTTACCTTTGCACCTGACGGACCCAAGACATGGGGCACTAAACCCTCCTCATGTATACGTTTAATAGGATATATTTAGTGCAGTACTGAGAGGCAGGGAATCGCGTGTGGGAAAATCGAGTATTTAGCTTGAATATATTAGTACCGTATTATTATCAACGAACTATAGAAACAAATTCTACAAGCAATAATTACGATTGAAACAATAACTAGCAAATAACACCCAACCGAGCATCTATCGTGGTAGTACGTAAATTGTTAACCGCCAACGTATTTACAGTACGACCTATCGATAGAACTTAACTTAAAAACAAGATAAAGCTTAATTGTAATTACAAACTTAGAGACATTCAAACGCACGTCATCAGTACGAGTTGTTGGCTTCAAATAACGTAAATTCATATGATGTTGTTATTACTGATTTTTTAAAGATTTTCTGCGTCTCCAGCTCAGTCGGTTTGATCCTCGGATTCACATATAAAATGAAAGTTAAAAAAGTTTTTCGATAGGCCAGTAAAGCATACATGGAATTGCATAACAGTAAATCTGAACGTTAATTACTGATACATTATAGCAAATGCTATATTTATATAAATACTAAAATATACAGCCTAAATTATCAACAATAGATTTACTATTTCTAGTCGGCAAAGCAGCGATTGTGATTAGCGTTCGTTTATCTTTATTTAGTCAACCATCTAATTTTTTTCGGATTGATCGTCCTTATACCATCTCTTCCACAAGCTTTTCAAATTCAATTTCTGCTTAAATGTCTTACCATGTTTCGTGCACACCATTATAGTCAATTACATGATCCGTTACCGGATTAACTGGCGCTCATTGGACCCGATCGGTGGTTACTCTGTCTTTTCTGGTAGGTATTGAGGCTTTCGACGAGAATTTTAGTAACGGCTAACGGTACACCTCTTGCCTTGTCTAACCGTCCGGTAAAAGGCTGTAGCATGTTAGCTATTTGAACATTATTTTCTATTTGGCTTTTCAATGATTTGTTAACAAATGAGATATTGTCTCTAGCTTTTTGATTGATTGATTACTCCATCTATCGATCATTGACGTTCGCCTCATCTTGACCGCTAAGGTAGACTTTTGGCGTGATGTGCCCAACCAATTTCAAGGAACACAACCGTTCGGAAGAGATTATATCTACAGCTCACCGTGATGTCCATCGTTTTGGCAGCCATTACAAACCTTCTAAATCAGTCTGGTTGCCACAGTTAAGGCGGAACTATGGTAAACGTTTGACACATTGACGATCTACACCGTCCCCTAATGAAATTTTGATCATAACGTGTAACGATAGTAACGCTGGTATCTTAAGATATGGCGCGATTTGTCTTTCTTTGCACGGGATTTCATCAGATCCCAGATATAATAGAGTTGTCTCGGCTAATTTTAGTGCAGTAGTTCACCACTAACCAATGTTCTTCACGTAACGGTAGTGTACGCGACGCTTTCAAGCTGTCAGTACGCACAGTTTATAATGCTGCTCTATGCGCGTAGATTATACATAACAGGCGAAAGCATAAGTGCATTGTGTTTACACCTGGATTTTCTACAAATTAAACTGCAATTGCATTTTTATCGGTCGTTTCCACTTGCAGTCCGTGGTAACTTGTTTCTAATTGGACGACCCACGCTAACAAAAAGTACGGTCGGTATTCTTCTGTTCGCTTATCAGTGTAGCCGTACGCCAAAATTGTTCGACTTAGTCAATCATCAATTGAATCCTGTTTCATTAATCATTTCGTTCTATCCTGCACACGTTCACCACCAGATCTTTTAAATGCAATTCAAACAGTGATAAATATTTGTAGATAACAAATACTCGTATGTTAATCATAACACGAACTGTAACAGATAGTAATCATAACTACGAAATAACTTAATTTAAGTTTATAGTCGATATACACACAGGTAATAATTAGCGACTGTCACAGTCTCGACTGCTTGCCAAGGGACCAGCTTGCAGCGACGGATTTGAGCGACTCCCACAAGGTTGGATCGTTTATGGATACAATAACGTACTCTAATATATACTAATGCTAATATCCAGTAACTAAATACCCCGTCGTACAGGCAGCGCTTTGATCGATTCGAATAGAATCGCGTTCGGTGCTTCGTTCGATCAACTGGCAAGCGGCTTGACGATATTTATTAACCACATCCCAAATCATAGGCGGTATGCCCAAATTTTGAAAACAATCGGCTTTATCTTAGATAAGTAATCTATTGGTAATTATTAGATAACTACTAGATGATTTAAGAGAAAAACAAGAAAGAACACGATCGCGTTTGCGTAAGCATATGGTTAAAGAATACAACAGCAATTAGTGCGGCGGCGTCGTCTCCCACACCAAAACCAGCGTTTAGCTAATATTATTGTAAATATTGACGTCAACGTATAATTACAGTCCTTTCACGTAATCACTGTTCTATTTCCCGTACTGTGTATTACGTGATGTACATATGTTATATGCTTATGAATATCATTTCATTTAGACTGAGTAAAAATGTTTCTTCGAGGGCGTAATATTAATCTAATACAAAAAGGTAAATTATTATAGTTCATTCTATCGGTCTATGATCAACAAACAATCTACGAAACGCTCAATCTCGCCGTAAATTATGACTGAGGGGTCTAACTCAGCCACTGACAACTATGTCAGTAGCTCTCATATATATATATACAAAACGTAAAAAGACCATGTTCCGCAGCGTCGTCTAGTATGAGCCTTCGCTCTGTGTATCGTTTTTGCGTATTGGTTATCAAATGAATGTATGCTGGCAGAGGCAGGTTTGCGTCGGCCCAGATAAACACGCACTCTTCGAGTAAAAACATCTTCACAGCTCTGTACTCACCGGGTATCTTCCGCCGACCTGTTCGTCCTGACTTTGAGCTGCTAACCGAACCACAGCTTCTTCTACGTTGTCGTCGTTTTTCAGCTTCTCCAGAGCAGCTGCCGCCACTGACGCTTGCGCAGCACTCTTGTACGACGGGGTGAGGCTCCTTAATGTATTGGATGCCATTGATGTATTCTGGCTCGGGGTAGCGATCCCGATTGCGAGGTGCCGGTAAGGGCTCAGCTGGTACCGTCGGCGGTTCGGACGGACCAGCTGGTTGAGGTGGTTTGTACTTGATCGCGACAACCTGAGGCGCGTCTGCCGGATCGGCGACCTCAGGTGAAGCGCTTTTAGGGCTTGCGGTATTCTCCGAGTTGCCGAAACTCGAATGAGATTCATTGTCCGTAGCAGAGCTTCCCGAGGAAATGCCCGACTCATAGTCGCGTTCAACCGGCGTCTTCATATCGGGTTTCGGATCGGTCTCCGACGCTGCCGTTACAACCGTTTCAACAATAACCGTTTGCGAATTGCCGACAACGTCGCTGTTCTTTGGCGTGGCAGGGTGCAGATTTAAACGGCGGAAATTCGTTTTGATGTATTTGCGCAACGCTCTAGGTGGCATCACGTAATGTTTCTCGAACTCAGTGTGAAATACGATTTGCCTCTGATACTCCTCGTTAGTCTGAGGGTCGCGATAGTTTTGAGGAGAGGTGACCATCGCATGCTGAAGGTCGTTTTGACTCGCACTAGACTTGGATAGTTTCGGCACTCGGCCCTGGTCAAGTTCATTTATACTCGTTAACGAAGCCGACTTCTTGAGGATACCTGGCAAGGTGCGCTCATCGGTGGCTTCAACAGTCGATTGCACCCGCGGCAGCGTCTGGCCGCGATCATCTAGATCCGCGCCCGGTACTGCCGGCGAGTCCGTCAGAGATTTGGAACTGTTCTTCTTGAAGCGTGGCAAACTGAATGACCAAAGACGCCTACTTGCCTTCGCCTTATCCGAATCGCTTGACTGTAACGACGAAAAACTGTCATCCGGATACGACCGGGCGCCATGCGACAAGCTTCTAGTTAGCGAGTTCGAGTCAGGCGTCGATCGCGGCGTCTCTGATGGACTGCTCGTCGCACAGCTATCGGGGGAGTAGCTACGAACGCTGTCATCGAAGCTCACAAATTTTTCTTGCACACGAGGTGGGCACGTGGGTAAAATTTGCGGACTGCTGGACATCACGTGTTGCATTTTTGGACTTCGCGTCACCAAGATAGTACGGCCTGTTGGTGCAGGAGGCATTATTGGTACAGCTGATACCGTCGCCATTTGATCGACATCAGCAGCCGCGAGTAGATGAAGGTTTTTGTTTTCCTGCTGCTGCTGATGCTGCTGCTGCTGCTGCTGCTGCTGACGCTGGGCCTCAACAATAAAGCGGTGTTGTTGCTGAGGTTCGTGAGATTGAACGACCGGAGGGGGGGGCGGCCGTGACGGTTGAGGCTGGGGGGGTGGCGGCCTTCGCGAGGGCAGGGGCATAATTCGTGGAACCTCGCGATTAGCAAGTCCCTCTCGAGCACTAGCAGGAGTAGGAGGGGGCATTTCATGTCGGGAAGGGATTTTAGAGGGTCCGCGAAGCATTCGTTGATCAGGAGCCGCTTGATGTAAATTGTTGTAAATGAGAGGACAGGTTTGTCCATCGGCGCCCCGGATTAACCGAATATCGGCGTGTCTGTAAAAGGGAATTACATAAAAAGAAAAAGTAATTAGCATAAATAAGAGAAGCATACATATGTACCAAAATAATAGATGATAACGTTATAGCTAGAACTTTTAAGATAGAACAGACGATCTTAGCAACCATATCACATCTACAAAATTTTCGTTCCATCATACTAGAAAGGGGGTTTTTAGAAGTCGCCGGTGCATGACCGTGAAAGGCTATGAAAAACTTCAACTACGGATGTAAAGGGCAAAGAATTCCCCAAGTGTTGAATGACAACTAGCCTTCCAGCTACCGGTAGAGGACGTCAGTCTTTCCAACGATCAGTTTTTCCAGCTGCTGAATATATAATACTTGTAGTCAGAATAATTATATTGATTGACAGGCAATTAGTACAGGCCACCTTATTGCCCATGTCAGCTCTACTTATTACGTCGACAAAGACGCCTAGGCTTTTCATCTAGCAATTGCGAACCCGCATCTCTAGTTGCAGCAAACACTATACGGGGATTCTCTTTCTGTCCTATTTAAGATAGTTGCTGCAAGAATGATGCCAGCCGAAATTGAAAGAACGTTGCCCTCATCTTTGACAAAAGCGGCCCAAAGGCCAAACGACCGTTCGATGCTTGCAATACTTTCGGCGTAATCTGAACCTATTCATCATAACATTACCATCCCAATTGTATCTGCGGTGAATCTTATCTCAAACTTTTACTGCTAAGAGCCTGAAGGACTGCTTTTAATGTGTTTGTCTATGTATGACTCTCCGTGCTTGTATGTCCTTTGAGGTATATGGTTCTAACTGGAAGTGGACGTGTCATCCAACGGTTGTTGTGAGTCATGGGTTTTTCGACTGGTTGAATAAAATCCATCCAAGAATTCTCATTACTGGTCTTACGACCCGGTCCTTTACATATCGTCATTGCGATTATAACAACTGACTTTGTTGCTTGGTGCCTATAAAGAACGTATTTCTTTTTGTAATTCAAATTGAAGGCCGTCAGGCTGGTCGCCTACCCGCCGCCAATGACTGTCGCTAATGTAACCCAAACATGTCGATGATCCGTTAGGCGTTGGACGTTGGTGACGTGGCTATCAGATGAAGACGATACTGCTGTTGTTGCCGTCAGTACGACCTAACCCGATCCGACCGCACGATGCTGCGAGATGTAGCCAACATAGATAAAGACGGCTTAGCGATGATTCGGTACGACGGGGAGATGCGAAGCCCGTAAGTCAAAGAATGTGTCACTAGCATAAATTATCGGACCAATGTTATTGTCGCCTTATTGACGTCGTCGCTGTAGTCCCAGTCGCTTGACTTCAATTCAGGCTCAAATCTGCCAATGCAAAGAGATGAAGCGAGAAAACAGCTAACCAAAGTGGACGAAAACAAGAGATGCTGCGCTACCCCGATGAAATTATCGCGACAAGTTTGTTATACTGCAATACTAGTAACTCACGACAAAGCTGCTCGAATACGACTAACATGCACGATATAAACAATAACAACGATGGTAGGTTGACGCCTCGTGGCCATGAGCGAAATCAGTCAATGACTGCAACGACAGCAGTAGCGGTGGCGTTATCAGTCTGTGGCGTCTGCTATCTAGTTAAGAAAAACAACAGTGATACCGTCGTGGTACCACTAATATAAACAAAGCAACTACTAATAATAAGACATTTTTTCATCTCTCACCAGCGTGTCCTATCTCTTTAATTACCGTATTAGTAAATATGGATAAACTAATAAATTGGTTTGCTGTCGACTGCTACTAGTCAGCTCATCGATAAGTCGTTAATTGTTTTTCTTTAACATCGTTACGGTGCGGCCTTGTTATTCGTGTCGAACATTGAAAGCCTTTGAGATGTTGTCGATGTATCGTTCGGTCATTGTGCTATCGCCAACAAGCTTTCATAGATATCGACAGCAGTGAAGTAATTGGTAGTACCGTTGTAGAGTGACACTTCATACTTCTTCTTCGGCTCAGTACAAGTCCAGACGATTTATTATGCGTTGCTATCCGCATTCATATAGCTCGATCTTACATTATAGCTGTCGAAGACCATGACGATGTTCCTGAAGACGTTTATGATGGATATTAGGACGATTCGCCGCAGCTGCTACTGTTGATGGTGATGATTAACACCGCGTGGGGTAATTTTCTCCGGTTCAAAAATTCGCTCAACCTTGGACGTCGAACGTATGCCAGCACGGTATACAAATAGGCAGGCTGGCTAATGGAAGAATTGTTATTCAATTTTTCAGATGAAACAACGACGGCGACTGCGGCCGCCACTTCGGCTGTGGCAGTCGCTGCGATCGCAGACTTTCTGGCGATCTAACTTGAACCCATCGTTACATAGTCATGCATCGCTTTGTCTCGAAAGAGAAAACAAACATGTAGCGGCGCGACGCTGAACACTAGCATATGAACTTTTACGATGCTGATACCGTTGTGCCAATAGAATTCAAGCAAATAAAGCTAAGGAGAAATGCATGAAGCGGTAAATTAGGACCATAACGTCGTCTATGGTATCCCGGTACACGGCAAAGCAAGACACCCCATAGTTGTTTTGCAAGCCCCCCAGCTCCCGTTATCAGGTCTGCATTCAGTAGTTAGTCCGAATAAAGATCTGCAGGTCATTTACGTGTACGATTAGGAACTACACAAGACAATGGGAATTACAACCTTGACAGTTACCTAAAATTAGACAACTAAACCGGAGGCCAAACATCGTTTTGAAGCTAAAAACACACAACGGAACAAATGCATGCCTTACAATGGCTTCTGCTTTTATCCGGGTCGATTGAATTTAGATCGTTACCTGACCACCGACGCAACATCGCTAGATCGAACAACAACAACAACACTATCATCAGCATCGTGAATAGCGACGACAACAGCGACGCCATACCTATAAGTAACACGCGCAGGTCGACATGAGACGAGGCGGACCGACGAGCCCCGATAGAGACAATGATACCGGTTGCAGCAGGACCAGAACCTGATCTGTCGAGTTGGGCTGGTTTTGGGCGGGGGACGCGTAAATGCGCATCGATAAGGACAAGAGAGAGCAATCGTCATCGCCGTCGCTCACGGTGGCAGCGACGGCGATGGCGATTAGCGATTGTCGTGATAGGCTATCGTGACCGGTGCGCTGGCGTTTGCCATGTCCGCTGCTGTTGCTGTTGCTGCTGCTGCTGCTGCTGCTGCTGGCCAGACTATAGCTACTGATGCTTGCTAGGGACCAGTAATACACGAACTAATAAAGCGATGTCGTGTCCGCATCCCCTAAGCCGCGTGTGCTGTGTAGGAAGACAACAACGAAAATAACAGCTGCAGCAGCAACAACAACAACAACTAGACTGCAATTATCTAGTCGGGGTTGTAGTCTTATATCATCATTTGAAGATTTAACACGGCAACGCCAATAGCAAGTCGATCTCGGTTCCTACTCCTAGTTAGTACTTCCCTTTGGCTTGAACGCGTAACGTAAAAGACGATGTAGCGTAGACGTACAAGCTAGACTCTGGGTGATGCCCGTATAAAAATACTAGGCGCATATGGCCAACTGGGGTGGCAGCATTACAGCTTTATGGTAATGGGTGATGACATACGCAAACTGAGGAACGTGCCGCTATCGTGGACAGGAGAAATCGTCATCAACATCGAAAAGTCGTAATTCTTTCATTTTCGTCATGTCAGCGATACAGAGTGAGAAGATGCAAGAAATAGAGATACTGGTTTAGAGCTAACGGCAGTAACAATGAAAACGGAAGTAGCTTGAGCCGTCAAGGTGTTCGGTGTATCACCATTGTTTGTTATGTGGATCGTGGTGCTACCGGCGCCCCAGCAACAATCCGGAAACGGCATAGAATGAAACACAAACCCAACTGGTCAGACTAGAGCATGGAACCGAGCTGGAAGCTGGGGGGTGAAAAGCGGGGTGTTTGCCAGCAGTGTATTATATACGTGATTGTTAGAATCTAGTGATATATTTGTACGTAGTCTTATTGCTGTTCTATGACATTACGCTTGGCTATTGCCTCACTGTCAAGCGAAACGTATTATTTTGTTGGAGAATAGTAGTCGATTGCAGGTACAAACATAGAAGAGACACATATAGGCCGATACAAACATAATAGAAAATAGTGATGGTAACCGAATGGTTCTAATGAAAAAGAACATGAAAAAATGCTGTTTGTAGCGATAAAATGCTGATCCCGTTATGACGGAGTGCCATAACGACTAACTAGCGCAAAGGAAACGATATAAACATTGAGAAGTAATGAAAGGGTAGTATAAAAGCATGATACTAACAAGAATGATCATAATAAGAGGAAAAAGAAAGTGAAACAGTAAGTACAATACGTGTGATAAGAAAAGAAAATATATAAGGATGACATAAAATAATAGTAACATTATGGTGACACGGTATTATAATATGAAATAAAAAAAACAAAATTAGTTTCGAAAGATATTGTAGGATAGAATGGCACAATGGCAACAACTAGCTAATAGCTATCCATATGTGAGATTGATGTACAATGGGTGATTGAGATAGAATAATTTATGATGATATGATTTCGTCCCAAATAAGATGAAACGATGGACCTTCTAACCCAGTTGTTAATTTTAGATGCCGAAACAAAGTTGTTTCTTTTTTATCATTGAAATAACCGTATTCCATGTGTTAACCAAAAGTAAACTCTTTATTTAATAATAAGAACAACCTACCTCTCCTCGTATGGACTCTTGTACGTGAGTGTGCCCTGCAGTTGCTGCTGAGGGGAATCAGGCCCGACGGAAATGACACGTGGTGGAGGCTGGAGAGACGCTCCGGAGCTCACCCCGGGTCTACTGACAAAATGCTGTATCATCGTCGCAGGTGATGACCTCATACTTTATTTTCCTGTGGAAAAATAAACGTAATAAGCTATGCTAAACGTAAGAATTTGTTTGAGATAAGATAAAGAGATAAGAAGATAAGATAAATATATCTTTGAAATATCCTGACTTTTTTTACGCTCAGATCTCTCTTTATGTCAGCTCATTTACCCACCAGAAATATGTCGAATTTTTTTTTCTCATTTACGCAAAAAAATGGATTGCTTGATAATGGTGCCAGTGCTATTGACTGCCACTTTAAGTATGAATAACTATCACAGATATGGCGATTGTAAGCAACGACATTCAGGCCGATAATAATCCAGCAACGGATTATCTTGCCGAATAGAGAACACAGATCCTTGGTTGATTAATTAGTCGATGTAAAATTCTTCATTTTCGTTCGACACTTTATAGTGGAAAAATGTAGCATATAAAAAACTGCAATCTTCCAATAGATGTCCACCTGATCGACAGCTCAGCTGCGACCCAGGTTCGCTTTGTCTGCATAAGTATGCCTCTGTGTATGTTAGATTGAGTGATTTCTAGGTGAATGGAATATATGGAAATTTCGTATAAAGTCTCTTCGAAGAGGCAAATAGACGCGACAATTTATGAGGTGCATAGGGGAGTAAAACGGCGCCGTTTATATATAATATATATATGTACGGTTGCGTTCGTTGCGCAATGATCTCTTATAGGGACATTTTGTTGTACCCGTTCGTTCCCTGTTGTACCCCGAACAATAATTCGTTGTTTTCCGTCCTTTCATTAGTGTTATTGTCTACTCAATCTACCCCATCGGTAGTAGTCTCGCCATGGCCTGGCGTACATCATATGTCATCGTTGTGCACGCAATTGAACTACATCAGTCATTTCTTTTGACGTGCTTTTTTTGTTTGGCCTCGGTGTCTTTCTAGGTTCTTCTTTACGACCTTGCACTGCGGCTGCCGCAATTATTTAGAGTCACAGACGTTTCAACGGGCTATTCGACCTAGCTGCCTGAAACCATCGCTGGTCGTGTGCAATCGTCCTCGTGGTAGGAACATCTGCGTCGAAAGAGATTGAAGCCGCTTCTTTTACAGCTGGACAAAACTAATTATCTATTGCTTTCCTTGTCGTAATGGCCATTTTTTTTTAGTTCTCCTGATACCATCGGATATTACAATACAGTGTCACGTTGAGGGGATCAGTCTATAGACAGACTGAGGAATCGATGCAGTAAAGTCGAATGCGTCAGCTTGGTACCGGCAGTAGCGGTAAAGAGATTGACCACAACAGAATACGGTGGCAGTCTTTTACGGCAAACATCTCCGTGCGTATGAACGGCGATAACCAAATGGGGCAATGTTAGATAATCGCACGATAACGCTGCATAGCGCTATTTATTGTTTTACTATGCACGCTGCTATTTTGCAATCTTCATTATGCGTCGTGTGCGTCGCTTCGTTCATGGTGTTAAGCGAATGTATTTAGCTGTATCATTGGCTGGCAGGAACGAGCAGGTCTACGCTCTACATTTAGTTATTTGTTCCATAATATTTGATTGATTTTAAGTTACCTACGCTTGTCCAGCATGGATGTCTTTATCCGGCGGCCGGTACCCTTTATCACCTGGTGGATATAACTTCAAGTCACACTGTTTGGATCTCTTCGTGCGCGTGGCGACTGATGAGTCGTATAACCTTTGGCGTCCGACGGGCTTTGGAGATGTTCTGCATAGTGTAGCAGGCTCATACATCCAGAGCTTCCGTTGTTCCGAAGCACATCCTGTTACCATGGCAGTACTTAGTCGTGCTCGTGCGTTTTCCAGTAGGATAGATTCTCGTGGCAGGTTCACAGATCCAATGGAATAAGAGGGCACGTACTGGACTGGTTTTTACCGGCGAGACGGCCCACATTGCAGCCGCGTATCGACTCAAGTGCTTTAATCTATATTCTTTTATCCGGCGAAAACTGCAGCCGGTGTACGTTATTCACGTGTGGGAGGCCCTGTTGACACGTCAGAAATACCAAAGTATTAGCAAGGCTGGTCGTGATTTCCTCAGACTGGTCCGACATAGTCTGCCTTCGTTGAGGGTGAACCGTTCATGCTTTTCGCAGCACTTGTGTTACCGCTGTTTAGAAAAAAGTAGCAAGTTGATGTGTCTTGATTGATACACTGAGGGTTTGTTTAATGGCGGGCATAGAGATTTGGGAATTCGCGTCGCGGTCCCCAAACTTTACATTGTCAGCACGTCTGAGGCTTGTTACCAGGACTTAACATTTATAACCTACGGAGTTTGCGCGTTGTTGTGCCCGACATGTGTTCTTTCTTTGCTGGGTGTACCACCGAAAGCGGTCGTTGCCCAGCACAGGGGCTTATAACAATCGACTAACCTGGCGATTCTAGATCACAGCGACTCTAGTCGCTGTGATGCGAAAGTAACGGATTTTGTGGCCTTAGCTAGGAACATTAGCTAGAAATACGCTGAATTAAAATTTGACTTCCAGCTCGTCCAGCAGTTCGAGCTTGGAACTCGCAGTCCGTTCGAATGTCTTTTCGTTCTTCCTGCACGAACGAGTCCGCTCCCGTCGGAGAGAAACGATCGTAGAGACGCTTTTAGATTTGGCCCTACGTAGCCATGCTTTGTGCGTTCAAACTGAACTATACTCGGGACGTACCCTGCAGATGGTACTTCGCAATTGGTCGGAAACCCTCTTCGCGATATTTACCTAGACGCCCAAGTTGTTGAACGTACCTATGCGGCCTCGACGAGCATTAATTCCGTACTAATAATAATAATAATACGTAATAATAATAAAAAACAAATCACCCGATAAATCGGCTCACCTACGTATCTTTATCGCCGCGCATCCGTTGTCACTAATACGGAACGGACGACTCAACTCTGTCGTCGATTAGCAGGCATACTTCATAGTCATTCACCCTGCGCTTATATAGCCCTGGCTCTGTAAAACCAACTGTGAATATTCAATTATACCTGAACAGGGTAGTTGTAGCAGGTAGTATACACCGGCCAAAATCTCCAGCTGCGTTTACTCAGGGGAAGTAATAATAAGAAACATGGAAGCAAATCTTTTTACTTTTACCATCACTTGAAAGTTTACCGTCAGAGTGCACTTTGAGATTTAGAATTCATAACTTGGAAAACCGCTTGTTTAGTGCATGTTGGACTCTCTGAAATTTAGCGTATCTCCATATTGAACGTCGCAAATATTTTTTGATAAGTTAGTTCTTAGATGAACCACGCATTTACTGGTTGGTATAATAAGGCGTAACTTAACTCGTCCTCACAAAGTACAAATGCGTGAGGATCCGATGTCCATTGTCGTGTGGCCGACTACTCACATATGGTACGCCCTTTGAGCAGATAAGGACGAGACTTTCGAGTAGACAAATCGATTTATGGCGGCACACTTCTTCACTCAGCTACTCTAAATACGTCGACTAACTTCACAAGGCACGATAGCTTTGCTTAACTCGATCCTTCACGCGATCGTTGCGTTCGCAGCTGCTGCCCTCGCTGTTGTTTCGAATGGACTTCACCGCGCATACCTACGACGTACGTGCATGCAGACATAGAACATCTTATGCATGCCATGAAAAATGTACTATTTTCTATAGTTAACTAATCATCCCAACAGGGAATAACCATGTCAAGCTCGATGACGATGATTTTGCCACTAGCGAGACAGCTAGTGACTTGCCATCTGCCTTGTTCTTACCGTATCGATCCACACGCGTTCATATATCACAGAGCGGTAAGACAATCCCTCTGATGCTTTTCTGCCGCTTGGTGGATACATCTACAACAAAGGCTATAACTGACTGGCGGCGAAGGGACAGCAGCACCAGAAGGATCGGGTTTGTTTTAGACGGAGGACCAACAAACGCACATCGATCAGAACGAGAGAGAGAGAGAGAGATAAAGTAACAACAACAGCAACATCTGATTTATCTGCCACAACCATCGGCGGTCGGCGTAATTTGGCCAGTCGGTAGACGACTCAAGCAACGATTACTACATGCCTTGCGTCCTACCTTGTGGCCTTGCAGTGCACTAGCGATGTTTGCGGCAAATCTGTGTGCACAATTAACTGGCAATGTTAAGCCAGAAGACCGACGAGTAGATACGCACAATTGTTCCTGCTTGGGTGCTGGACGTTCCATGACTGACTCCTAGTCCGGAAGAGTTCTCCTAGTGAACTGGATTTATTTTGTTAACTTGACTTATCAGTGGCCCGGCGTTATTGTTGCAACGCTGTTAATCAATTCTCACACACACACACACACACGAGAAATAAAGGAATAAGCGAGTAAGCTTTAACAACGAGGGTCTTCGTAGCGAAGTCCCAGGAGCGACGTCCATTATCAGCAAAGCCGATAGATACTCGCGATTGTTGTAACGCAGCCAACAACAAACTGGAACGTCGAAGTAATCGTACGAGCGTATCTATGGCAGGATACGTTCGGATAAGCATCTCGGGGTGGTCGGTGGTCAAATGTAAATGGCGCGTTTCCGATGCGTTACTGAAGAACACAAGAGAGACAAATAAAATAGGCGAGCAATGTACACAGTCTAAAGATTATGGCAATGGACCAATAACGCCCGCCCGTAAGACGTATTGTAATAAAAAAAAAAAAACAGTGAGGTAACCCGTACCGAAGGCTTGCTTCATAGCTTACGTCTAAATCCAAAATAATCTCTGGCTGGTCGCTAATCGTTGATGTGTATAGGTCAAACGTTGAACGGGCAGAATCAACTGCGATAACTGAGTTCTGCGCATACTCTACACAGTTGAAACGATGAGTTTGAAACCCGTTACGTAGTACCTAAAGGTATGTATCATAGGCGTTAGTTTATCACATTGAGTAGAGTGGAACTAAATCCAAAAGATCATTGATCACGTTCCGCCCGCACTTAATAATTTTTCATTGCTTGACGAATTCAACGACGACGACGACGACAACCATGCCAACAACAATAATAGGGTGACTTGCTCGACTACCGGCAGAGAAGT